CCTCCCTCTCCCACCCTCTCCCTCCCTCTCCCTCTCTCTCTTTCTCTCTCTTTCTCTCTCTCTCTCTCATTTGTAGCACTGTGTGTTCTGTAGCCTCTCTGCAGTTGGTACGAATGATATTCTATGTCAGTTCTTGCATTTTTGAAATTGTATCTTTACTGCAGGCTGATAATTGAAATTCTGTTGTCAGTGGGTGGCTATGGTCACTCAGCGTTATTTCCGCCTTTTTTAGAAGGTTTGTCTTGGCCAGATATTCAAAGTTATTTAGGTCTCTACCTATTGTTCTTGATGCCTTTCTGATCAGCTTGTTTATTTTTATGATGTGTTGTCTTCCCAAGTTGCTACCGTAGCAAGAAACACCTAAACTTATCAAAGTTTCTATTGTGGCAGTATTAATAGAATATCTGAAGGATGGATGGATTTAGATTGAAGGACCTCAGTTGTGTGGATGGGGGTAAAAACCCCTACATTAAAAAATTACTCAGTTGGTATCATGCTGAACTACTATGCAAAAAGCTCTGGCTTGAGTACCCAGCTGTGCTATCTTGAACTCGGATGTTTTGGGGTAATATCAAGCCTGTCAGCCCTCTTGGCTTGGTCCTGTCAAAGGTGGACATTTAGTTAAGAGGTCCCACCTTTTTAAGTGACTGGAGTTTATGTTAAGTTTATGGGAGTGTTGAGCCCATACTTTACTGGCTACGTCTTTTGTGCCATCTGTCACCTGAGAGTCTGGTTCAATTGCTACAAAGCTACAAAATGAGCTGTTTGTGTCTAGAAGGAGTGTAAGTCGTACAAAGACAAAAAGTGTCCTCCCGGTGTCCTTTTTATGATTGTGTTTTATGCCTTGATCGACACAATTTAGATCGTTCAGGAGGTGGGCTTTGACTTTATCTGTCAGGGCTACCCCGGGCTGAGATGGATACAACATCCCAGCAGAAAGACAGAGGTACTCTGTAAAATGTTTCCCCAAATAGGAATCAAACTCAGGTCTGCTGCATGCAATGGTGAAGTGCCTCACCACTACACCACAGATGCCGGTAGTCATATTGTAACCAGTGCATTTTGGTTTGTACCTTGCAGCAAGTTATGAGGGGGTGCCATCCAACACGAACAGGGAAAAGCCAGGTTGTGATACACTGGATGAGATGGCCGACAAACAGCAGTTTTTTCAGGTGATTGTCATATGAGGTTTAGTAATGAAGCATTTTTGTCTGCAAACGAAAATAGTTTAGGAATATTTTTAAGGTACTTTTCTTTCTGTTCATGAAATTTGATTTGTTTCTCAGACCCAGGCCCATTTTCTTTCACTGACTTTTTAATTAATTTTCTTTTCATCACGCTCTTACAAATTGGGAGAATACTTTCAGAAAGTCTGTTTCTTTTTGGAAATACGGTATAACACGGATAGATTGAACACAGAAGACTCGAAATCATGCATCTGCCAAAGTGTGCCTGCGGTCCCGTTTTTTTCTCCTCTTTTTCTTTGTAAGATATTCCTCGAACTATGGTTCCCTCGGAGCTACCAAGGCTGGTCCCAACAAATTCGAGCTATCCATGTTATACTATATGCTATTCCCATACATCCCTTTGCATACTCATTGCTATTTTGTTTTCTTTGTTAGTGTGCTTCATTTGGTAAGTTTGAAAATAAAGATTGTAGGAGCTTGTTGGATCCCCAGTTCTGCTTAAATAGGGGAATGGTGGTATTATGATTAGCGACTGTAATTTACTATGAGGACAAAAATAAAAATAATTGGCTGTGAATAGAGGACAGATGCTCTCAAGGGAGTTTTCATAAAGGGAGGCCTTTTATTTACCTCTCTGAGCAGCATCGTGCTTAAATGGAGTTCTGTATGGAACAAATCACTGGATCGTAATACTTATTTTACTTTAATTATTTCATCCTCTGTTGCCTTTAAGCATTGAGGGGAGATGCAGTTTTCTATGGTAAGCCAGTTCTGCAGCACTTTGAATTGTAATAGAATACTTTCTCAGGGTTTCTTTGACTCCCTCAATCCATTTTTGCATGGTCTACATCTTCCTTTATAGACTGAGTACTCAGTGTTACAGGCTCTCGTGGCTGGCTGGCCAGGTGACATATGTAACAGGTGGCCAAACCTTTTGTGTCAGGAATCAGTGAAATCGGGCATTTGTCTATTTTTGGGCTTATGGAGGTATTGGTATCATCTTAAAGGTTATTCATTTGTCTTGCTTTCGATGAAAAAATATCCATTATGTGGATAGAAATCAAGATATTTGCGTTTGAAGGAGATGGGGTCGCCTGCTTTCAGAAGTAAAATTAGTGAGAGAATGGCCGCCAAAGTCTGGTGACTTCCATAGCTGAAGAGTTCTTGGAAACTGCAAATTTACATTTTTTGTGCCTTTAACCCCCTCAATGCCGCAGGTAAATAGGCCTCTGTGCCGCAGGAAATCCCATAAAACAAGGCTGCTCAGGGATGACCCCACTCTACCTTCCATAATTTTTAAAATTTATGAATATTTCCACATGAATGTCTGCTTGTATATTCTACTTTGAACCTCATTTCTATTGATATAATTTTGGGGGGATTTCATTGAGAGGTAGATGGAGAATGATTGATGCCAAAAAACCCCCACCATCAAACAACATAAACAACGAGACCGAAAAAGGGGAATACATGTTGTGTGAGTGCTTGCAGATAAAGAAGAAGTGATAAGAGGCTTTTCCTATCTTATAAAACGCTCATACAATCCATATATATGTAAGCCCATCTGTTTTGACTGCCAGGAAATCATTTTTGTGTGGTAGATGTGTTAGATCTAGATCTAGATCTAATCTTTTCTTCGAGCTAAAATCCGAATTTGATGCTTTCAAATGGGATGGGGAATGGAGGTAAACATAAAGGGATAAAGGGAAGGTACCTCAATAATAATTACAAGATTTTAGCTGTAACTTCCCTTATAATTGGTATCAAAACAACCTCTGTCACAGTCCTGTAAATTCTGCGGGCCATAGGCACAATGCTACAACGGGCACGGCAGCGAAGAGGTTAGTCAACGTTTTTCCATAAAATTCACACAGAAAAGTGTTTTTGAATGGACATACAAGGTGTTGAGCTCAAAAACAAAAATTAGAAAAAAATGTCCAAACTGGCAGAAACATTCTGATTTCTGGGATTTCATTATTTTGACGAGTGCCTGATTTCTCCACAATGCCTTACATTTTATTCTGTGTTTTTGAGTTTTTCCATGAAATGCAAGCAGGACTCGTTGCCAATAGTTGCTCTTACTACTTCATTTCTCTGCCTTTCTCTTCTTGTGATGTTAATGGTTTTGCAGAGATATTTCATCTAGCACGCAGTGACTTTATAATAGTAATAGTAATTATAATAAATTGCATTTATATCTAGGGCATTTCCGCAAAGAAGTGTTCTATGTGCTGTACAATAATACAAAGAACGTATCGCTAGCCGGGTGATTCAACCGCCTAAGTGACAAAATTTTCAAAAATCACTTTTTTATCCCTTTGTATGGTACAACCTTAGATACATCTTATGTTAAAATCCCGAGTTTAAAAGATTATTGCAAAGTGTTTTAATCCATCAGTAAATCGATTGCCCATGTCCACAAGTACAAAAATTGTACGTGATTCAACTGCCTACTTGTCAGCTTCGCTGCGCGCGACGAATGGGCGGATGAATCATGCCGATTCGGAAGCTTGTGAAGTGTTCACCTGTCGCGTGGGCAGACCGACCAAAATGACTGTGGCCTTTGTCAAGGCGCAGTGGAGGGTAACAACAACAAAAATGTCACCTTTGTTGACATCGACTCAGATTGACACCTATGACAAATTTTTGGTAAAACAGCTTGCGCAATCAATTTGCTCCTTGGTTGGGTTGCGTTTTTGTGAGACGACATCAAAGAAAATTTTAATGCTGACTTGACCAAGTCGCAGAATTATTGCATATACTTCTGACCAAGGAATTTCAAACTGTCTGTGATTGACAACTAGCTAAGGATCGTTGAGTTTTGAGTAGAGTACACCTATTGGTCAATATCACTTTGGGAGTTGGGGTATAGTTCTCTAAATTGAGACATTACACGAATCTTGGTTCACTTAGGCCTAAAGTGAGTGCTTTTTTCTGTGTGCGTACCATGCATCATTCTTGAATCATGGATAAGTTTTTAGAGTGATTCTGTTACTTCTGATCCAGAACCCCAGTACACTGCCAACGATCCTGTTACTTCTGATCCAGAACCCCAGTACACTGCCAACGATCCTGTTACTTCTGATCCAGAACCCCAGTACACTGCCCTCGATCCTGTTACTTCTGATCCAGAACACCAGTACTTTGCCCACGATCCTGTTACTTCTGATCCAGAACCCTAGCACACTGCCAACGAGGTACATTATTCTTCCCAACATCCAACAACTCCTCCTGCAGAAGTTGCAGCTGGCAACACAGGTACAGCTCCTGCTGTTGCTATGCCTGAACTCCAAGAATCAGTACCAGCTGCTTTTGTTGAAAATGTCATAGCGGATGAAGAAACAGTCCACAATACTCCAAAGCGCAAAAGATTAGACCCACAAGAGTGGAAACAAAATAAAAGGAAAGAACTCTGCAACACTGGTCAGCCCTATGTCTCCCAAAGGGGAAAAGAGATCCCAGCTCGTCAAATGAAAAAGTCATGCTCATGTAAATATCTGTTTCAACAAAAAATTATATCAGGAATTCACAAAAGAGTACAGAGAAGCAATGTTTGAATACGTATGGAGCCTGACAGATGCTGCTGAAGGGAGTTCAGCAAAGGACTTGTTCATCAAATTTCTGTGAAATGCAGGAGGGAGTCACCAGATTCCCCAAGTAGGTTTCTGGCTCTACAGTTTCATTTGAAACGAATCTTCAGTGACATTCTCCCTGTTTGCAAAACAATGTTTTTAAATACAACTGCCCTCACATAGTGGTTTATTCGTAGCTATTTCAAAGAGGGCTGTCATGATTCGGACACGGGATCTCCATGCTTGCCATATTACCAGAGAGCAGAAGACGACAAACAATTTCTTATGAAGGATTTCTTTGATAAACTTAACAAAATGCCTTCTCATTTATTGCAGACAGAATACAAGCTACACTTTCAAAGCATTGCTGACCTTTATAAGGAGTGTCAAAGAAAATGTGAAAAGCAAAATCGGAACGCACTGTCCCAGACAACTTTATGTTTCAAAAGAGCAACCTGTCGTTGCATGTACCACGAAAGGATCAATGCGATGTATGTGTTTCGCATAGAGAAGGAAACTTGCATCGAGAAGAATGAGAAAAGTAAGTTGAAGCAAAAAAAAAAAATCCCCAAAAACGAGCAAGGCAGGAGAAGGAATCCGACGAAAAGCTGTCACAGAATCCAGTAGATGGGACAAGGTTATGTGTAGTGTCCATGGACTTGGAAGCTGTCCAGTTAGCGCTGGCCTTGAACACAACTGGGTTATTACAGGACTAAATGAAGTGTCCATAACTTACTTTACGTTTGGCACAAAGGAGAAGGAGCGCTGACAGCAAATGAATCTCTTCGTTGACAAATATGACAAATTCATTACATATAGTGATGGTTGTACGTATCAGAACCGCAACGCTCCCCTGTCGAATGTCATCAGCAACTTTTGTACAGTAAAATTTTTTTCGTCATTTTCTCGCCATTTGCCATGCATTTTCTTTAGCAGGTTTGATAATTCTTTTGGTCTCTCTTCTCTATTTCCTGTATAGTCCTCTTTGGTCTTTGACTTCTGCATTTCTTAATTTCTTTTTAATTTTTATTGCTTCCTTGGTATCGTAATACCACCAGCATGTTGTTCTGCCTTTGTTTCTGCCTCTAAGTTTGGTGCCACAACAGTTTTTCAGTGATTCTGATTAGTATTTTAAAAATGTTTTCCTTTCTTCTTCCATGTCTTTGATCTCAGGTGGCAGCTTATTGTACTCCTTGGTAATGTCATCCTCGATTCACTTCTTGATGTCTCTCTCTTATCCAATTTTCTTTGATTGCTAGTGGTTCCTCCCTTGTTCTTCTATGTTTGCTTTACATTGCTGGTTATGAGAGTTACAGTAACAGGTGTGTGATCCATTTCGATAATGTAGTTTGAGACCGCTCTTGAATCTTTGGCTGTGTGTCTTTGTTTTCTGCACATCAGGATGAAATCGATTTGTGATGCATGCTTCTGATCATTCTATCTGTGCCAGGTCTTGATTTGGCCTAATCTGTGTTGAAAAAATGTGTTCGTAATTATCATGTTTGTTTCATTATTTTGACAAGCGCCTGGTTTCATCAAGATGCCTCACAAATATATCTTCTTTGTTCTTGATGGTATTAACGTCATCGCTCAGGTCTTGTAAATATGATTGTCTATGTTCCTCTGCATAGCTGTCAGTGCAATGAGGGTATGTTTGGATGTACGTTGTTGTTTTGCCACCTTCTGTAAGTTTTATGCTCATTATTTTCTCTGAGATTTGTTTGATTTCATAGATTATATCCCTTTTGGCCTGGTGTATGATGAAAGCTACACCATGTTTGGCTCTCTAATTTTCAGGCATTCCCCTCCGGATCAGGAGGTAGCCTTTATGGGTCTGCTTGCTGTTGTTGCAAGTATTTTCTTTCTTTCCATGAAATTCACTCTTTCTGGTTCGCTGACATTTTCATTTGCCTTTTTAAATCGTAGTACTAGCTCACTGTCCGTTTACTTTACCTGGTCTGTTGCCATTTGAATTAGTCTGTGTATTCTCATTTGTTTTTCTCATAGCAAGATTTATTGGATCTTAATGTGAATATTACATGTATATATATTGGATTTGTATCTTTAAATTTTGAAAAATAGCTGTCTATTTCTAGACCAATTTCTTCCTAAAGTTGATATTCCCAGCTCCAAATTTATGTCAACAATCAATCCAAAGACTTGTAAAATTCAGCTTTCAGCCAATATTCTTTAAACACGTTGACAAATATATGAGTAATTGGTTCTGAAATCTCTGTAACAAAGTGGGAAAAAATGTGACTGCCTGTTTCGATTGAAGCTGCGCGTATTTTTACAATGTGAAGAAACGGCAGATTTTTAACAGTCTTGTTTATTTCGACAGAATTTGGAGAAATCGGCAGATGGTACAGTGGACTACGGGAAACTTAACCAAGAACTCAGTCAGACTGGAGGAACCATGATGCTGTCTCCTGGGGTGAAGGTCAACCAACCAGATATCTCTTTTGTTTCCGGTTTGTCTCCGGCTGTTGAGAATGCCAAGACGCCGAGCAAAGATTCGAACATGGATATAACGGTTAGTGCAAGTTGGAGTGACTGTGATGTTTTATAGTTTTGTTTCAACTGATATAGCAAGGATTTTACTTCCCATAACGTTTACAAGGTAAATACAGCGCGATATTCGAATTGATCATCTTTTAATACTGAAAAAGTGAAATAGTGATGACGATAGCCGTCATTTAATGATCATATCATCATAGCCAGTTGGAATATTGGCGGAAGGGGTGTTTGACACTTGGACTAGGAGTGCTTGACGTGAGATTAAAATTTAAAAAAATAATAAAACACACACACATACTCACACGCACACACACACACACACACACACACACACACACACACACACACACACACACTCACACACACATACACACACAGACACACGCACAGACATACACACACTCACACACACACTCACACACACACACACACACCCACACACACACCCCACACACACTCACACACCCAGACACAGGACGTATACATGGTTATATTTAATGGTACCCCAGGAAAATTTTTGGTCAGCTTGGCAGTCACCTTGGTGATTTGTCCTTGATCCTGATTTTTTTCACCAAATCCAGATTTTCCCCCCCCTGAGATCCTGATTTTTAGATTTCATAGAGTGGCAGGTCTGGCAACAAGGGCACAGTTAGACAAAAAGACTGCTGGCCATCCGCTGCATCCCGGCCCATCTCTGTCTGTCTCGATTTTGTCGTGCCACCGGACCTAGATGGACAGTGTGTGTGTGTGTGTGTGTGTGTGTGTGTGTGTGTGTGTGTGTGTGTGTGTGGGTGGGTGTGGGTGTGGGTGTGGGTGTGGGTGTGTGAGAGGGTGCGTGCGTGGGTGCGTGTGTGTGAGTGAGTGAGAGAGAGAGATGGGTTCCTCTAACTATTTTAAATTGCTTCAAAATTTTGCCTCTTCCCAGGACTCTCAACAGAAACCCAGTATGTTGTCTAAAGGTAAGGGCATAATATGGCAGTTGTCTTGTTTGTTTTAGTAGAGGTTTTACGATGCTCGCAACTGCATAAGGTCATATGAGCGCCAAGAGTTGGATGTCAACTGAGAAGTCCTTACAGGGAATCAGACTTACTCTGCTCACCTCTCTAGCTTCAACAGCACAAAGTCCGCTTCGTCTATCAAGGCACCCCGGAAATAGCGGGTCACAAGAGTGTGACAAACAAACAAAAGAAGCAGAGGAAAGTGACGATAGTAAGGATTAGGAAAGAAAAAGCAGCAGTTCCCTGTTGTACTTCAGGCATAGTAATGAGCATGACATTGTTGGATCAGCCCATTTACAATTCTACTGTGCATTAGAACGAGAAATGTCCCCCCTTTGGGAATGGCCCAAAGACACTTCAATCAATGGCACCGCCCCGGGGGGTGCAGTTGTCTACTGTTTTATGCAAATAGTAATCTATCATGGATTTTGAATGTGATGAGTCAATTTCACTAATCTTCTTTCCCTCTGCCTTTCCATCCAGCAGTAGTTTCTCTAGTTCATTTGATCTATTTAGGTGGCCAAAGAACCTTACCAGGTCTTTCACAGAAGAAAATTTCCCTATTCTGTAAAATCATATGTGTCACGACGCGATAGAATCAGGCGCTCGTCAAATTTTTGGCATGCAAAGTTATTGGTGCCATTTGAAAGCTAATTTATTTGCCTTGCTTCCAATGAAATAAATATATATCTGCCTTGAATAGAACTTAAGATATTTGCGAATGAAGGAAATGAGGTTGCCTGGTTTCAGTGATGAAATTAAGGAGTTGGAAATTTTGGCAAACAAAGGTTCAGAAGATTAAATTTGACTCACAATGCATGTTAATGATGAAAAAATGCCACTTAATTTACATTTTATTATGAATCTCTGCAAAATTTCAAATATCTTTCGAACATAACCATGATGACACAACATAAAAAAATACCCTGAAAAGTAATTAATGGAACAGAAAATTACTTTAATAGTTTTTTCAGTGCTTTAATTTTCAAACATAAGCGTGAAAAGCATGGAAAATGGTGAGGACCACAAGTCTGAATGTCGTTGTGTTTGCATTTGTGTCATCATAGTTTTGTCTGAAGGAAATGAAAAACTTTCCATTTTCATATCTGCGCTCATATGACCTTAGCAGTTGCGAGCGCCGTAAAACCTTATACTATACATTTATTTTTTGAAAATTTTGGCTTACAAAAATTCAGGGGATTCAGTTTCACTCAGAAAAAATGCCACTTTATTCAAATTTCACTATGACTCTATGCAAAATACCAAATATCTTTTGAACATAACCATGATGACACATAATAGATAAATGTTTGTTGTCATTTTGGAACATATCATCAATGTACATCAAAATTTCCCCTCTCGTGACGCCTAGCCAAGCACGCGTGGTCGCATCTAGATCTGTCACTACTTGGCCATTGGAACACAGTGCGATGTTAATCATAACTTGGTTTAATTTTTATTAACCCCTTCACTTCTGCCAGTTTTTCCCTGCCCTCTGCTGGAAAAATTTCCGCCAGCCTGGTGGCTGACAGGTCATCTGTGTTATGAGGCTGTTGTAACTCCTATAATTGAAAAGATAAACCTATAAAAGTATGCATCAAATGAAAGAAAAATGAAAGCAATTTTCAGCCCTACCCTTGGAATTGATATTAATTGATTCATGTGTAATAAACTAATGGCTTTGAAAACTGAAGGGGAAACTAACCTTATTCTTGATGACATCATGGCAGCTACATCCAACAGTAAATACTTGTAATAATCCAAGAAAAAGGCACTATCCAACGTGAAAAATCCCATATAAATGTAATATTGAAAATAAAATAAAATACGACACAGAGTTACTATTAAAAAAAAAAAAAAAAACCACTTCAGAATCAGTTGCGCCAGTAAAAGCGCTCTGTGTGGTACTTTCTGCTTGGACAATCAGGGCAGTAATACCTGCTGTCCCTCCTCACCCCCTTCTCACTGCACACGCGGCACCTCTTCTGGGGCTTAGAGAGTTCTCTGCTGGTACGACATCCATGAAGTGACGTCCCGTAAGCTGAACACTGTGGTCGTCTGTGACTTCAGGCGCATTGTTTCCCTCAATCAACATCGCTGAGATGACGTCCTTCTGGAATTCGAGAAAAGTTGAGCTCTGCCCAGACTTTTTTGAGACTATATGGGCATTGAGGAGAGCAATTTGTAGAAAATGCCAGCACAACTTCTTGTACCACTTGATTGATATTCTGATTGCGTCATATGGTTGGAGCATTTGATCATTTGTGGCTGTTGTAATCAAGGATTGCTGGTGGTTTCCTGCCATTGCCGCTTTGCCCTTGTTCATGACATGTTGACACCATGTACACATCTCACTTGTCGAAGAAATTTTGTGCAAGCAGTTTCCTACTGACGCAGCCTTCTGTCTCCCCCTTAGCAACCTGTAGCTGGCGCAAACACGGAGGAGTTCTGTTGGATCGCAGAGTTCCACTGCAAGAAGTGCGATGGCTGTGCAGCTGGTCAAAAAGATCAACCGAGATATACCATTTATCCACAAAAAAACGGTGACATTTGTTGAGTAGTGGTAACATTAGGTAAAACACTTCCTTTCCTGAGCATCCCAAATGTTGAGTGTCAGGGGGCAGAAGGTTGTCAATGTCGGTTGTGTATTCATCCTTACCTGCGTACACTCGGAAATGAAAGGTGTAGCCTCTGTTGTCGCAGAGTGAAAAGGATTTGATTCCAAACCTTGCTCTCTTCAAGGGGATATTCTGCTTGAAGACAAAGGCGACCTTTCCATAGCAACAGGGATTCCTCGATTGCGATATTCTTCTCTGGCTGGAACATTTCTTGAAACTTCAAGAACAGATGATCAAGCTCCGGGTGGATCTTGAAAAGCCGGTCTCGCTTTGGCTGGTTTGCTGGTGGCAGGTTGTCGTTGTCGTTCATATGCCAGAACTTTAGAAGGAGAAGAAACCTGTCCCGTGGCATGACAGCAGGGAAGACTGAGGTTCTAATTAGAGGGTCTGTACTCCAGTATGAGTTGAGGTCAGGTTTCTTCACAATCCCCATCAGCAGAAGGAAACCAAGGAATGTCCTCATCTCATGAATGTTCATCTCTGTCCACTGCCGGACACGTGACGCAGGCTTCAGGGTTGATGACGATGTGAATTCCTGAGCATACTTGTTTGTCTGAGTGACAAATATGTTGACCAAAACTTTATTCAGGAATAAAGAGAAAAAATCCACAGGTTTGAATCCTCTGACATTTACCTTCACTTGAGGGCTTTCGTCGAACTCCGGAATGTCCGGATGAAAAGCAACATTCCTTTGCTACACTCTTTGACTTCTCCCCTCCCTCTTCCTCTGCCACGCCCTCTTCCTCTGCCACACCCTCTTCCTCTGCCTCCTCGTCTGCTTGTACTAGTAGACAGCATGTCATTGTCAGGCACTGACTCTGAAATTATAAAAGAATAAAGAAAGTCTAGTACTTTTGATAATATAAATAAAGTCCAAATGCTGCTGCTGGGGAAAAAAAAAGCAATCACAGTAGTCCAAAGTATCATACACAATGCAGACATGCCCCTTCACAGTAGAACAAAGGCAGCGACTTTCACTAAAATCAACCAGATTTAAAGAAAACAAACAAGAAAAAACAAGAACAAATCCCTCGTAAATAAATAAAACTGTCAACACTGACAATGAATTATTGAAAGAAAACATATGAGATTATGCTGATCCTCAATATTTTATCATTCTCAGTCTAGATGTTCTGAGATAAACAACCTGCACTTCTGCATTTGACATAATGATGTAGATCTAGAAATCTAGATTTCTAGATTTATCTTGGGTCATAGTAATTCTAGATCTTGATCTATAAGCAGGAAAAATAAACAAAAGTAAAATAAAACAAACCGCAGTCAGTACAAATAAAGAATAGATTTAGACCCAGATCTAGATTCAAGATCTGAAACAACAATCAATACAACTTTACTTACCATTGTCCGTCCCATCCTCTTGCCCCAAGCTTTCATCCTTTGCTTCGTACGAAACATAGTCAGGTACCCCCAGTGGGTCGGGGGGATATAAATAGACCACTGCTTCGTCTGCAGAAGGTGCAACCCCCTCAAAGGCGGAGTGTCGCACACGGACCCCAACCCTCTGGGATCCGTGTGCGACACTTACTTTGGTGTATCCTCCTCTTCTCCTTCCTTCTTTCTTTCTTCTTCTATCTTTCCTACCACCGCTGACCTCATGTGCAGCAAAACGAGAGGTCACCCATCCCATAGAGTGGGTGCCTTGTTGACCGTGAGGTGCGACCCGTGCGGAGGGAAACCGGGTACCTGGCGGTTGAGGTGAGATCAGTCCACGGACTATCCCTCGCCAACACACCTCTTTGGCTCAGGTTTTCCTCTTAGACGGGAGGGTGGCACGGCCCATGCCGCTCAATCGGTTGAGAGCTGAAACCCCATCAAGCCCTGGGTCAATCTTGACGGGAGGGTCTTGTACTTTCTCGTTGAGAGTATAGCTCCGGGGTTGCCCTGGCACAGCTCTGGTCATCCGAGCAATGTGTCCCCTTGTTGGGCTCCATGGCGGGCGGAGTTGAATCAAACAAAACACTCTCATGGATTCTAAAACTCAAAAAGACCCTTCCCCAGCTCCCAACGTCAAAAAGTCTCGGCTCGCGGAAGCGGGTGCGGCCACCGAGCCGAGCAAAAACTCCAAAACTGGAAAAAGGACCTTTACGTCTGCCTATTTTCTCCCTTCTCCCAGGGAGCTTCCAAAGCAGCCGTACGTGGCCATCAGCTGGAAAGAAGACGCACAGAAGAAGATCACTGATCTGAATCTATTCAAGACGGGAGATGCATTAAGACAGGTTCTGGGATACATTCCTACGAATGTCCAGAAGCTGTCCTCTGGTGTACCCCTCGTCAAGTGTGCAACAGAGACTGAAGTGGCCAAACTTCTGAACATCACGACCT